ATGATTTTATACCTCGGAGGCGTGACAATTCTTTTCAAAAATTCGCAACTTTTGTGTATATTTAGACAACAATCGATTGCTGAAATTCTCCAAACTTTTCTCATAGAGACATTTTTTTCCAAATTTTCATATTTTCATCAAAACTCGACAAACAAATTTTTTTCCAAATTCTCTCTATATTTATTATCCCCTCTCCCCATTCTTCAATATTTACAATAAAACTTTTAGTTTTTAGATTAAATTTAATTTTATTTAAAATTTAATTTCTCTAAATTTAATTTTATTTAAAATTAAATTTATCTAAATTTTATTCAATTTATTTAATTTATCTAAATTTATTGAATTAAATTGAATTAAAAATTTTAATTTATTTTAATTTAAATTGAATTAAATTTAATTAAAAATTGTATTAAATTTAATTAAAAATTGAAATTGAATGTAAAACAAACAATTTAAAGTTAAATATTATTAAAAGAACTTGAACTACGATTAGAAAATATTGCTTTCTCTTCTTCAGGGGGAATAATACAAATTTCCCCTTAATTTTCCGGCCCTGCCTTTGGATTTCTTGTAACGTACGAGGGAGCCAGGACTCAGTTATCCGCGGTTGTCCGTCCGTTAGTCTCTGTCTCGGGTCGACTCTTAGCCTTATAGCAAAATGGATACATAACTTTGCTCAGAAAAACACGTTTCTGTCAGTGAAACTTGAGCAAGACTAACGACAAGAACAAGTCTCAAGTGAAATTGTGCGCGGAAAATTCAAGTCCATTTTGTTTAAAAAAAATTCAATTCGGAGTGTGAAATGGAAAAAAAGAACCGAATATGAAAAATTTCGTCGCCATGAATAAATGAAATTGGTGGCGTTGACGTACCAATGAACTGGGAAGTTGTGTGCACCGGTTGTGAAAAAATGGATGCATTTGGCATTTATCAAGTGAGTACGATAATTGCACAAGATTTTCAAATGGCCTTGACTTGCTGTTACATTTCCTCAAGTCAACGCATAGTTGCAAACACACAATCTCTTTTTCAAGTCCTTCATATTTTCATGGTGGCAATTCTTTTTTTTATTTACATAGTTCGAAAAAATAAGTCCTGTCAAAAAAAAAAATAAATAATTGTAAAGTTAGTAAATCAAAGTCAGGTTTTTGTTTTTGTTTCTTGCACACAGTAGTTCTTACCTTTCTCTCTCTCTCTCTCTCTTTCATCCATATCCCCCTCTCTTCTCAACTTGTTACAAATCTTTGTATAAGAATTGTGTGTGAATGTGAATGCCTCTGAGTGCCGTTGGTGTTTCGTGATGTCATGACACAAGCAAGCGTCCTAACCTAACTTACCAATACAACTCCCATCCGAATCACGCCTCACGCCCATTCCTGGTATATCCTATTTCTATTCAAGAAAGAAAGAGATGCCAGATACTCGTAAGATTCATTGATCCAATTTCAATTATTTTACTCTTTCCCTCTTTTTTCTCTCGGGTCCATATCAATAGCCATAAAGTTTTTCGAACGACTTGAATCTCGAATGGCTGCTACAATTGGAATTTGCCCGAACTTGAATTCTGATTCACAGACAAGGGCAGAATCATTATTATGTTTTCATTCTTCTTCTTCTTCTTCTTCACGAACAACGACCTTTGGATCTTTTTTATTGCCTGTGCAAATTTATGTGCACTTTGCAAATTTTGCATTCTTGACAAATTTTACTCGAAAGTGGAAATGTTAATACTTGTAGTGTTGTAGTTTAAAGCAGACAAAAGGAGGATGTTATTTTTGTTATTGGCAACAGAAATTTTGAAATTGTATCTACATCTCAACATATAATAATAGCGATGAAATTCGAATTGAACAACAAAAATTCTGCAGAAAAACACAGTTTTCAACAAAAAATTTGATTCACGAACTTTGAAAGAGCAACACTAGTGTTTAAAGCAAGTATTCTACATGACATGATGGTACTCTTACTACATAAAGTGGAAACTATTATTTAAATCAAAAAATGATGAATAAATACACAAAAACTTTGGGTTCTTTAACAATACACATGTTCTTTATTAGAAGTGAAGCAGAAATTAAAATTATTAGCTTATTAACCCTTAAGGATCATTTCCACCAAACCTGATTAAAAGTTATCGATTAAAGCTAATTTTATCCGTTCACGATTGGTCGGTTAAGGATTTAATGATTGATTAACTTTTAATCAGTGTTTGGTGGAACCGGACCTAAAATGTGGTCATTTTAACCACTGGGTAAAAAATAAGTTCACTTAGGGCTGATTCCACCAACATCAATTAAAAGTTAATCAATGATTAAAGCCAGTTTAACGACTCGTGATTGGAAGATTTTTCTTCAATTCTGAAGAAGATTGAAGCAATCTGCAGGCCTCGCACTCACCTAAAACCTACTATTTACTACTTTTTTTTACGATTTGCTACTATTTGGATACTTTTTTTTATTTGTTACGCTAAAAGCGTTTTTCAATGGAAAAAATTCAAAAAATTTTAATAAAATTCTTTAAAACGATTCAATTAATTTGGCAAATTTTTCCTAATTCAATGATTTTTAATATCTACTATTTTAATAAAAAAATTTCCCACAAGGATTGAATAATTTTAAGAAAATGTTTATAAAATTCTTCGTAAACATTCAATTATTATCATAAATAAAAAAATTTTCATAGAAATTTCAATTATTTAAAATAGAATTTTTCTAATATTTTTTGAAAAAATTAATTATTTAAATAGATTTTTATAAAATTCTTCGCAAGAATTAATTTATTTTTATATATAATAAAATTCTTCTCTGTAATTCAATTATTTCTTAAAATTTTAATAATAATCTTTGCAAGAAATCAATTACTTTTATAAATAATATACAATTTATTAAAATTTTTAAAAATAATTAAATTCTTGAGAAGGGTTTTATTATTTATAAACATAATTTAATTCTTGCCAAGAATTTTATTAAATTTTTTTTTAAATAATTGAATTCTTTCGTTAAATCTGATTAAAATAGTAGATATTGAAAATAATTGAATTTCACCAAAGATTTTCATTATTTCAGAAAATAATTGGATTCTTACGAAAACTATTTTTAAAATTTTTGAATATAATTGAATCGTTTCAAAGAATTCAATTATTTTTATAAATATTAAAACTCATCGCAGGATTTTAATTATTTTTAATTTAATTTTAAATTAATTGCGTGAAAAATTCAATTATTCTTAAAAATTTTAATAAAATTATTTAAAACAAATTTCATAAAATTTGTTGAAAAAAATAATTTCTTTAAAAGGATTCTTTTTAAATTCTTCTCAAGAATGTAATTATTTTAACAACTTTATTACAGTTCGGTAATAGAACTTTAATTATTTATAATTGAGTTTCGAAAACTTAAGAAATTAATTAAATGTTTACTAAGAATTTTAATACATAACAATTTTTTGAAAATAATTGAATTCCTACGAAGAATTTTTTTAAAATTTATGCAAATAATTAAATTCATTCAGGAAATTTTTTTAAAAAGTATATTGAGAATAGTTATGAATTTTAATAATAAGTTTTATCAACATTTTTTTTAAATAATTGCATTTTTCGAGAAATTCATTTAAAATTTTATTAAAAATAATTGAAATCCTGCGTTGAGTTTTATAATTTATGAAAATAATTGAATTTTACCGAAAATTTTCTTTGTTTGAGAAAATAATTGAATTCTTATGGAAAATTTTCTTAAAATTTTTGTAAATAATTGAATCGCTTCAAAGAATTCAATAATTTTGATAAATATTAAAACTCATCGCAGGATTTCAATTATTTTTAATGAATTCGTCGAAAGATTGCAACTATTCTTAGAAATTTGATTCAATTTCTTTAAAAGAATTCAATTATTTAAAAAAAAAAATATTAATGAAATTCTTTATTCTAAAAATTGAATTGTTTTTAATATAATTTTAATAAATTTTTTTGAAAAAATTCAATTATTTCCATAAATAATATACAATTTTCATAGAAATTCAATTATTTAAAACAGAATTTTCCTAATATTTTTTCGAAGAAATCAATTATTTAAATAGATTTTCATAAATTCCTTCGCAAGAATTCAAATTATTTTTATAAATAATCAAAATTCTTCTCAGGAATTCAATTATTTTTTTAAATTTTAATATTAATCGTTGCAAGAATTTAATTATTTTTATAAATATTAAAACTCATCGCAGGATTTTAATTCTTTTTAATATAATTTTAAATTAATTCCGCTAAAAACGCAATTATTCTGAAAAATTTGAATAAAATTCATCGAAAAAATTCGCAATTATTTAAAAAAAATTGATATAATTTGTTTCTTAGAGTGTCAGAATTATTTTCAATTTATTTTTACTTACATTTCTTGAATTAATTTAATTATTATAAAAATTTTTAATACAATTCTTGGTAAAAATTCAATTATTTAAAAAAAATTTGGATAAAGTTCTTTATAAGAATTTAAATTTAAAAAATATTCAATTATTCAATAAATTATTTATTTTTGTATTTAAATAATTAAATTCTCGTAGAACTTTCTATAGTAAGAATTGAATAAAATAAAATGATTATAGTTTTGAATAATTTTATTTATAAATTTGAAGAAAAAAAAATTATTCAATTTTGAAAGAATTACTTTTGTAATTATTAAAAATAACAGTTAAATTTAAAAAATGCGTTACATTGAAATCAGTTGAAATATTTTAATTCCTGTAGACAAAAGAAATAGGTATTTAAATATTTATTTAAAAAAATTATTCTATTGTTGAATGTAATTAAGAAATTATAAAAAATTGAGTTGTCAAGTTTAATTTTTTGATAGCTACTTTTTTGAAATTAATTATCAAGTACAAAGCCTGAATCTGCAATATTTGAAGAATTTGAAAAAATTAAAATTAAAATATTTTAAATCATTATTAATAAAATTATTGATTACTGATGGGATTTGTGATAATAATAATTTTTCTTTTTTTTACAGTTTTCGCAGGGCCTGACAGGCAGGCCGGAGCTGTATCAAAAGTCGAACAGAAGTAGTCACTCGAGTGACACGAGTTCGGCGTACAGTGGATCTGACACAATGACGTCCGTACAAAGTTCCTTGGACGCCGATCCTGACGAAGTGGATCTTTCCGGCTTAGTGGAGTCGATAGTCGACTCTGATGAGGAGGAAGATCTTGCTGAAAGCATGGATGTAGGTTTTCTCTAAATTCTGTTCTTTTTAAAAAAAATTCAGACATGGTTCTTGAAGTTAGCGTCGACGTCGCTAGAAATTTTTTCACGAAACCGAAAAGAATAAAATAATTTATTGTCAAATTAATTTTACGAGCTCTTTAAATTTTTTGTATGAAAACGCCCCGGTTTAAAATATTTTGGAAAAGTTTTCAACTCCCTAGGTAAATATAGAAGCTGAAATTAGTCGCATTTCGATCTCTAGAAATCCGAAATAATATTTTTCGACGCTCACTTCAGGAAATACTGAATAATTAGGGAAATTATTTAAATTATTAAAAAGAAGAATTATTATTAACACGACTTAAATTATTAATTTATTATTATTTCTTTCGCAGAGTTTGACTGTGCGTGATACAGTTCGAGAATGCCTGGAGAAAGATCCACAGGAACGAACGGAGGACGATATAGAAATTCTTCTCGAGTTCACGCAACATTTAAAAGCGTTTACAAACATGACATTGGCAGTGAGAAGAGCATTATGCGCTGTGATGGTTTTTGCAGTGGTTGAAAGAGCAGGAATGGTGGTTCTCGCCGATGGCGAAGATCTCGACAGTTGGAGTGTTTTGATTAATGGAGCAGTGGAAATTGAGCACAGTAATGGAGAAATTGAACAACTTCATCTTGGCGATAGTTTCGGCACACTGCCGACAATGGACAAATTAAAGCATCGCGGTGTCATGAGAACAAAGTGCGATGACTGCCAATTTGTTTGCATAACGCAGGCCGATTATTTCCGGATACAACATCAAGGCGAGGAGAATACGCGAAGGCACGAGGAAAATGGAAGAGTAGTCCTTGTCACTGAATTGCGAGGTGCATTAGATGGAGTGTCGCGACGTGGTTATGTGGTGATTCGCGGAACTCCCGAACGACTGATGATGCAACTCATTGAGGAAAACAGTATTACAGATCCGAATTATGTCGAGGATTTTCTCTTAACGCATCGTACGTTCATCGACAGTCCCCTTCTAGTCGCAAATCAATTGTTGGAATGGTTCGAGCAACCTCAGGTTCGTGATTGTGTCGCACGTGTCGTTCTCCTATGGGTGAACAATCATTTCACGGACTTTGAAACCGATCCGGCGATGATGGAATTTCTCGAGGCGTTCGAGACCGGTCTCGAGAGGGAGAAAATGCAGGGTCAACAGAGGTTATTGAATATCGCTTGTGCGGCTAAAGCGAGGACGCGAAACGTGACGTTGGCGCGACCCAGCAGAGACGAGGTGCTTCATTTTAGTATATTGGGTGGATACGAGCGGGGTTTCGGTATTTTTATTTCGAAAGTGGACAAAAAATCAAAGGCTGAGGATGTTGGTTTAAAGCGAGGCGATCAGATTTTGGAAGTGAATGGACAGAGTTTCGAGCATGTGAATCATGCGCGAGCACTGGAAATTCTTCGTGGATCAACCCATCTCAGCATCACTGTGAAGTCAAATTTATTAGCGTTTAAGGAAATGTTACAAATGCCGGATAATTCGCCGAGACCGCGAGGCAGAGCGAATAAGCCTGAGATTCCGAGACTGCCAACGGATCCACGTGCAAGGCTTTCCACAAACGTTGATTCCATCACGACGCCCGTCAATCCTCTTAATCCCTTGGTGGGCGGTGTTCCTTTTTTGATGCCCGACAGTAACGTTTCGCCGTGCAAGGACACCAAAAAGGAGCACAAGGGATTCATGACACTTGGGCCCAAGAGGAGATTACAGAAAGCTTTAATGAAAATGAACATTCTTCCAAAGAATACGATCAAGTAAGTTTTATTCTACAATTTTCCATTTTTTTTCAATAAAAAAAAATACAGGACTCGAACTAGGTCCGTAAATCCGGTAAAGGAACGTAAATTTTCTTCAAGTCCGTAAGAGTCCGATTTTTTCGTCAAAATTTCAATTATATTTAGAAATAATTAAATTCTACTCCGAAATTCAATTATTTTCAAAAATATTAATAAAATTCTTGAAAAAATTCAATCATTTAGAGAAATAACAAAATTCATCAAAGGTATTCAATTATTTTTAATACATTTTTAATAAAATTTCATGAAAGAAGTGAATTTTTAATAACATTTTACGAAAGAATCCAATTATTTTCTAAAATTTTAATAAATTCTTCGAAAAAATTCAATTATTTTTATAAGTAGTAAAATTCATCGTAAGAATTCAATTATTTTTCATAATTAATAAAATTATTGTGAAGAATTCATTTATTATTAAATTTTTTAATAATATTCTTTGCAAGAATTAAATTATTTACATAAATTTTTACATTCTCATTTTTATAAATTTTCTCGCAATAATTCAATTATTTTCATAAATAATAGAAAATTTTTACAGAGATTCAATTATTTTCGTAAATAATAAAATTCTTTTTAGGAATTCAATTATTTTCAAAAGTAATAAAATTCTTCGCAGAAATTCAATTATGTTTAAAAAAATTTTTAAATTCTAGTCAAAATTTCAATTATTTTTAGAAATAATAAAATTCTTCTCCGAAATTCAATTATTTTCAAAAATTTTAATAAAATTGTTGGCAAAATTTGAATTATTTTCTAAAATTTTCCTCTATTTAATGATTTTCAATATCTACTATTTTAATCAAACTTTCCAAAAGAATTTAATTATTTTCAAAAATTTTAATAAAACTATACGCAAACATTAATTTAATTATTTTCATAAAATATAAAATTCTTTTTAAGAATTCAATTATTTTCGAATAAATACCTAATCGCAGAATTTCAATTATTTTGAGTACCATTTTAATTTAATTAGTTAAAATAATTGAATTATTCTTTTAAATTTTCATAAAATTCTTGAAAAAAATTCAAATATTTATAAAAATTTTATTAAAATCCTTTGTAAGAATTAAATTATTTTCCTAAATAATAAAATTTTTCACAGGAATTCAATTATTTGAAAAAAGTAATATAATTCGTTACAAGAATTCAATTATTTTCAAAACTTTTTAAAAAAAATTCTTGGCAAAATTTCAAATGTTTTCAAAAATTTTCCTCAATTCAATGATTCTCACATTAAATTATTTCCAGGAATTTTAACGAAATTCTTTGCAAAATTCAATTATTTTTATAAAAAACAATATTCATCACAAAAATTCAATTATTTTTAAGAAATTTTTCAAAATCCTCATCATGCTTTCAATTATCTTTAAATATACCAAAATTTTTTTCCAAAATTCAATTATTTTCATAAATTTTAATGAAATTCTTGGCGAAATTCCAATTATATTAATTATTTAAACAAAATTTTAATAAAATTCTCCGCAAACATTTAATTATTTTCATAATATAATAAGAATTTCATAAAAATTCTATTATTTACTAATTTCTTTATCTAAATAATTCAATTATTTTTAAAAATAATAAAATTTTTACAATAATTCAATTATTTTCGTAAATAAAATTCTTTTTATAAATTCAATTATTTTCATAAATAATAAAACTCAATGCTAAATTTCAATTATTTTTAATAGAATTTTTATAGAATTCTTCGAAAATTGTAATTATTCTTAAAACTTTTATGAAAATTCGTCGAAAGAATTCAATTATTTAAAAGTTTGTTTATAAAATTCTTTATGAGAATACAATTATTGAACAAATAATTTTTTTTATTTAAATAATTGAGTTCTAGTAGAATTTTTCAATAATAATTGATTTAAAAATTAATTTCACTTAAAATTTTAGATTATAATTGAATATTAAAAGCATTATAACGTGAATTTTTTGAAATAATTGAATTTTGAAAAAATTTCATATTAAAATCTTTGAAAATTATAATTTTTCATACTTTTAACTAACAATTCTGAAGAAGAATTAATTTTTTTGCCAAAGTTTTTTTTCAATTTTACTTTAAATTATTTTTTTTGTTTTTATTTTCTAATAATATATTTAATTCAAGAATTACCGAATAATTGAAATTTTGTATAATTGAATTGTAAACAAATGAATTTGAAAATTGTCAAAGAACTTTTTAGAAAATTATTAAAAATAATTGATTTAAAGAAGAATTTTAGTTAGAAATTCTTGAAAATAATAATTGAATTGAAATGATGAAAATAATTTCGAAGACGTACAATATTTTTATATTATAAAATAATGATTTTATCACTCGGTCGTCTTTAAATAATATAAAACAGGAAGAAATCGATCACTCCGAGTCGAAGACTCAGAGTTATCGATATCTTCATGTTTTAGTTGTGAAAAATTTAATTTATTGTTTTAAGTAAAATGTTCTCTTATTTGACTCGGACTGGTTATATTTTTTTTGGTCCGGAAATGGTCCCTAATTTTTTATTTTTGGTCCGTAAATTCCGTATTTTTAAATACTTTCACTGCTTCGAGCCCTGAATTATTTATTAAGAAAAAATTCTAAATTGAAAAATTTTTAGCGACGGAATTCACATGGACGATCCGTTGGGACCTCCGCACACACCACCAGGAACTGGTCTAACGCAAACGACGACAAATCTCTATCACTCGAGAAGTAATCCTGATCTCACGTCTCTTTACTGCTACGACGATCTTAGAGCTCCAGAATATCCGGAGCATGTTCTCAAAGTCTATAAAGCTGATCAGACCTGCAAGTACCTGTTGGTTCACAAAGAAACGACAGCTCATGAGGTAATTTATTATTTTCTATCATTAAGCTTTAGATTTTTATTGAGATATTTATATTGATATTTCTATTCGGTTTTTCTATATTTATATTGATATTTCTGTTCGGCTTTTCTAGGTTGTCATGTTGGCGCTTCAGGAATTTGGAATAACTGAAAGTAGTTCGAATTTTTCCTTGGCGGAAGTGAGCGTTGGCGAAGGAGGAATGATCAAACAACGTCGACTGCCCGATCAATTGCAAAATCTTGCTGAACGAATTGGTCTCAGTTCTCGATATTATTTGAAAACAAACGGTATTTCGGAAACTCTCGTTGCCGACGATCAGGCGCCGGAACTCATTCGGGAGTCTCAGGTGCATTTTCTTCAATTGAACGCAGTCGAAGTTGCGATTCAACTTACTTTGCAAGATTTTAGTATATTCAGGTAAAACAATTCAACTCTATTCAACGATAGTATTATTAACAAGATTAACAAGAAACTATTAAAAACAAGAAACATTTTTGTTTTCGAATAATTTTTCACTTAAAGAAATTCGTAAATAAACAGAATATTTTTTTGCATATCTAATAATTTTTAGAGTGAATCAGAATATTCTTTAGGGTCAGGGAAAAAGTCTGGAAATCAGGGAAAAGTCAGAGAAAAGGAAAATTTTATTTTTGTCGCAAACCATGAAATAGAAATTTGATTGCTTCTCTTTCTATTGTAGGCAAATTGAATCCACGGAATATGTGGACGATCTTTTCGAATTAAAAAGTAGGTACGGAATACCTATGCTCAGCCAATTTGCAGAACTAGTCAACAGAGAAATGTTCTGGGTCGTGACGGAAGTTTGCTCTGAGCACAATCTCGTTAGGCGTAGCAAAATTATCAAGCAATTCATTAAAATTGCACGTAAGTTATTTTCTCGTTTTTTTCGTTATCAATAAAAAATAATTTCTACTCGATAAAAAATCAGAATCTAATTGAAAATTTGAATTAACTCTTTCAGGTCAATGCAAGGAGTGTAAAAATTTCAATTCAATGTTCGCAATTGTATCTGGTTTAGGCCACGGTGCAGTTTCTAGATTAAGAGCATCCTGGGAAAAATTGCCCAGCAAGTATCAAAGACTGTTTAGTGATTTGCAAGAGCTCATGGATCCGAGTCGAAACATGAGTAAATATCGACAACTCGTGGCCTCTGAACAAACACAACCACCAATCGTAAGTAAAGATCTTATTTTTTCGCCAAAAGTAAACAAGAAGAAATTTATTAATTTGTTGAATTCTCTTTTATGAAGATTCCGTTTTATCCGGTGGTTAAAAAAGACTTAACCTTCATACATTTGGGAAACGATTCAAGAGTTGAAAATCTGGTGAATTTCGAGAAACTACGAATGATTGCGAAGGAGGTGAGAACATTGACGAATATGTGCTCGTCGCCTTACGATCTATTGACAATGTTGGAGAGAGGCGGACAGCCACCAAGTTCTGCGATGGTTGCTTTAAATCAAATGACAACTGGAAATCAAGGTGGACAGACGGCGACGGTGAAGAGGCGGAAAAAATCGACAGCAGTACCAAATCAAAAGAAAATGTTCGAAGAAGCGCAAATGGTGAGGCGAGTCAAGGCTTATCTGGCGAATATGAAAGTAATCACGGACGAGGAGAAATTACATGCACTATCGACGGATTGCGAGCCACATGCGGGTGCGGTCGCGATTGCAGCGGCGGTGCCTCTTGCCGGCAACAGGGGCCGACGACATCCTTCGCCAACGCTGTCAACCACCAGCAGCGCCAGTAGTACCAGTGAGGGCAGAAAGAGCATTCAAGGTTTTTATAACCACCTTGCTCTATTTGTTATTTTTCATTTTACCTGAATTTGTGTATCTTTGTTTATATTTATGCAACGCAAACACTTTATTTTTTTTTTACTGATGCTTGACAATTTTTAATTATTTTAGTTCTGCGTTAAGTAAATTGGTTTTTACAGGGCACGAACTAAGTTCGTTAATCCCATAAATTTGTTTAAAGTCCGTAAAAGACAGATTTTTTAAAAAAGGTCCATAAAGTCCGTAATTTGATTGAAAATGCAAGAAAAGTTCGTAAATTTAACGATATAATTTGAAGGAATTTTTGAGAAGTTAGAAATGATTGCAAAAATTCAATTATTTTCAAAAGTAATCAAATTCTTTGAAGGAATTCAATTATTTTCAAAAGTAATAAAATTCATTGCAGAAATTCAATTATTTTCAAAAGTAATAAAATTCTTCTGAGGAATTCATTTATTATCAAATATTTTGATAATATTCTTTGCAAGAATTCAATGATTTACAAATTTTTTTTATAAATTTTCTCGTAATAATTCAATTATTTTCATAAATAATAAAATTCTTTTTAGTAATTCAATTATTTTTGTAAATAAATAAAATTTTCACAGAAATTTTTTTATTTTCAAACACAATTTTTAGAACATTTTTTGAAAAAATCAATTATTTAAAATGATTTTTTCAAAATTCTTCGCTAGAATTCAACTATTTCGAAAAAAAAGTTAATAATGTTCTTCGTAAGAATTCAATTATTTTTAAAAATTTTAATATAATTCGTTGTAAGAATTCAATTATTTTTAAAAAAATTGATAAAATTTCAATTATTTTCAAAAATTATATAATTCTAATTATTTTCATAAAATAATAAAAATTTCACAGGAATTCAATTATTTACAAATTTTTTTATAAATTTTCTCGCAATAATTCAATTATTTTCGTTAATAATAAAATTCTTTTTAGTAATTCAATTATTTTCATAAATAATAAAATTTTCACAGGAATTTTATTATTTTCAAACACAATTTTCATAAAATTTTTCGAAAAAATCAATTATTTAAAATGATGTTTCTAAAATTCTTCGCTAGAATTCAATTATTTAAAAAAAAAAAAACTAAAAAAGTTCTTCGTAAGAATTCAATTATTTTTGAAAATTTTAATATAATTTGTTTACAATTTTTTTTATAAATTTTAACGCAATAATACAATTATTTTCATAAATAATATAAAATTTTTAAAAAGATTCAATCATTTTCATAAATAATATAAAATTTTTACAAAGATTCAATTCTTTTCATAAAAAATTTCCTAAAATTGAATTGTATACAATTTTAATCAAATTTCTCGAATTTAAAAATTTGTTAATAAAATTCTTTATGAGAATTCAATTTTAGTAAAATTGAATATTTTAAACAATGAATTTGAAAATTGTGAAAGAACTTTTTGGAAAATTATTCAAAATAATTATATTTTTGTCAGTTTGGTCCATAAATGGTTCGTAATTTTTCATTTTCGTTCCGTAAAGTCTGTATATTTTTAAACACTTTCACTTGTTCGAACCCTGTTTTTACCTAAAGATTCAGATTCATGAGCAAAAATTAATTGTGAACAATATGGTAAGAAGAAATTCTTTTACAGGTACAAAATTTGGAGCGGCATCACCTCAGGCAGTGAGAAAAATGCTCGCACTCTCAGACCCCCACAAAACGCGACCTTATCAACCGAAACATTGTCCACCGCCTCTTCCAGTTCCGGGATTGGCGATTCACACTAGTGGCTTGGAACCGAGTCCTGGAGCGCCGCGACGAGTCGGTTCCGGAAATCGAGTTCCCATGCATGAAAGATCGCACAGCGACACTCCCTCGGGACTTCCGCCACCTGTAGACCTCAGTGCCGAGAGTAGTAGCGTTACGAGTCTCAGTAATCTTCAACCTTTGAGGAAAACACTAACCAGTGGTAAGTTTATTATTTGCTAATTAATAATCAAAATGCCGTGATAATTTTCTTTTTTTTTACATTGGTATTAATTTTTGAAACATGCTTCCGAATTCTACGGGGTTGCCACAGATCAGGGAATTTAATTTAATTTTTTTTACTTTCAAATATCAAATTCAATTTTTAAATAATTTCAGGTTCCAAATTTAGAAAAAGTTAACTTTAATTAAATTCTTCAAGTAATTCAATCATTTTCAATACAATTTTAATTAAATTTGTCGATAAATTGCAAGAATTCAATTATTTTTATACAGATAATAAAATTCATCGCAGAAATTTAATTATTCTCAATACAATTTCAATTAAATTTCTCGACAGAAATGAATTCTTATTTTTTAAATTTTTTATGAAATTTTTTATAAGAATTCAATTATTCTCAATACAAATTCAATTAAATTTCTATAAGGAATTTAATTATTTGCACAAAATTTCCATAAATTACTATAAAATAATGAAATTATTTTCAAAATTTATAATAAAATTGTATGTAAATATTAAATTAGTTTAGATTCAAAATAATTAAAAATAAATGTATCACAAATATTTTTTTTTTGTATGTAATTATTTTTAGAGTTTGAATTAAAATATTCTTAAGGGTCAGGGAAAAAGTAAAAAGTTCTCTCTGGAAATGAGGAAAAAATGAAATAAAATTTCTGTGGCAACCCTGTTCTAGTGCTTGTAAACTTATATAATGCTTCATATTTTTATTCAAACTTTTCAATATCGAATCATTCTTCATTCATGAAAGGCATTTAGTTTTGGAAGCGCAATGCACCCTCGTTTTACACTCGTCATGTACACAAAAAACACCGGTCGGGGGTATTTTTTTCGCAGTGCGAAAATTTATTTTTTTTCTCATTGTTCTGCACGCAGCACCGCCCGTATCGCAATATTCATAAATGTTCCTTGTCATTTCTTAATATAAATCACTTGCACATGCATTTGTACGCTCCTCAAAAAGCTCGCGCTTTATTTCAATGAACTGACACAGGTACATCATCATTGTCATCGTCATCATCAATCCAAAATCCTGTTCGCTACTTAGCGTTATATAGAGGAAATAATTCTTTTCTCGAACTATATATATTTCAATTTTTGAAATATTTAGTGTCATTTCAATGTTTTTTTTAAAATGTGATACGGATTTTGACGGTGCAGAAGTCATGACGAGTTTTGACCCTAGGCTGTTGAGATTAGTAGGATTTTTAATATCATTCATAAATGATACTTTCTATTTCCTTACTTTTTTAAATCAGTTCTGTTCTTTTTCTATTTTATAAAATTTATAAAATTTATAAAATTATAATGTTATAGTTTCTTTAACGTTTTGCCGATTTATCAAATTTTTCTCCACTGAAAGAATGAATAAAAAGTTTATTCCAAAAATGACGATAATCAACAATGAATCTAGATTGCAGGCCTCGGATCGACTTTAGGGTGGAAAAAGTTCGTTTTAGTCTAATAAAGATTCAAAAATAATCTAAAAAGTAATTTATTTTATTCAGTATTGTGAACAAATTTTTATTTTGTATTTCTCTGATTTTTAACTGATTTCTGAATTGAATTATTCAAATTTTAAAACATTCAATTTCGAACTTTCTGAAATTTAATTATTTTAGCGATTTTTCAGATTTGCATTTTTAATTTTTATAAAATTCTAAAGAAATACTAAAATATTAATTGTTTTCAATAAAATTTTACAAAATTTCAATTACTTTAAAACTTTTCAATTCTATTTTTGTAAAATGTCATTATCTTTGAAAAATTAAAAATTCCAATTTCAAAATTTTTGTAATTTTATTATTTCTAAAAATTAAAAATTCTAATCCTATCAAAATTTAATTGTTTTCAAAAATTTCTAACTAAAAATTCTGCTTTAAATCAAATATTTCTAATATTTTTCCAATTGTTTTTCAACAATAGATAATGGAATTTTTGAAAAATTTTAATGATTAAATTTATTCTGAAATTAGTTGAATTTTTTAATAATATATTTTAAATTATTTAACAAAATTTTAACACAATTCTTCGAAGGAATTCAATTTTCTTGATAAATAACGAAATTCTTTTCAGATTCAATTATTTTTCAGAATTTTAATGAAATTCTTTGCAAAATTCAATTATTTTTATGAAAAACAATATTCATCACAAGAATTCAATTATTTTCAAGAAATTTTTCAAAATCCTTGTCGAAATTTCAATTATCTTTCTAAATAATGAAATTCTTCGCCGAAGTTCAATTATTTTCAAAAAATATTAATAAAATTCTTGGCAAAATTTCAATTATTTTCACAAATTTTCCTTAATACAATGATTTTCAATATCTACTATTTTAATAAAATTTTCCGAAAGAATTCAATTGTTTAATAAAATTCAACTCAAATATTTAATTATTTTTACAAATAATGAAATTGTTTTTGGTAGTTCAATTATTTTCATATCTAATAAAATTCAGCAGAGATTTTCAATTATTATGAATACAATTTTAATCAAATTCCTCGAAAAAAGTAATTATTTTCAAAAATTTTATTAAAATTCGTCAAAAGAATTGAATTATTTAAAAAAAAATAATTCTTTATAAGAAATTTAAAATTAAATTTTAAGGAGCATTCAATTATTCAATAAATTATTTATTTTTGTGTTTAAATAATTGAATTTACATAGAATTTTCTAGTAAAAAAATTGATTTAAAAATGAATTTCAGTAAAAAGTTTAGATAACAATTTATTATTAAAGCCTTTATAGAATAAATTTTTAGAAATGATTGAATTTTAAAAAGGTTTCAAATTAAAAACTTCGAAAAATTAAATTTTTCATACTTTTTATTATTTATTAATAATTCTGAAGAACTAGGTTTTTTTGAATAATTTTAATGTCAATTCTGTTGAAATTAGTTGAATTTTTTAATATATTATTTCATATTTTTTCAACAATTTTAACGCACTTCTTCGAAAGAATTCAATTATCTAGATAAATATTAAAATTCTTCCTTGAAATTCAATTATTTTCAGGGATTTTAATAAAATTCTTCCCTGAAATTCAATTATTTTCATAAATAATAAAACTCATCGCAGAATTTCAATTATTTTGAATAAAATTTTAATTGTATTCCTCGAGAAATGTCATTATTCTTAAATTTTTTATTAAAATTCGCCAAAAGAATTTAATTATTTAAAAATTTGTTGATAAAATTCTTTATGAGAATTCGATTTTATTTAATTATTTACTAAATTATTTATTTTTATATTTAAATAATGGAATTCTTGCAGAATTTTCTTTAAAAAGTTGGTTTAAAAATGAATTTTTAAGTTAAAATTTTAGATAATAATTGAATATCAAAAATATTATAGCCTGAATTTTTAAAAATAATTGAATTTTGAAAAGGTTTAAAATTAAAATAGGGTAAGTGCGTCAATTGCTGCGGGTGCTTCAGTTTCTGCGGCATTTTAATAATTTAAGTGAATACATTTGTTCAGGGCACAAATAATTTTGAAATTTTTTTTAAAAATTACTTAACGATGTAAGTTTTAAAATAGATATAGGAAGTATATACCAAAACATAATATTTATGTATTTTATTTTAATTAAAAGTTGACGTGTTCAAGGTTTTATTTATTTTCATTGCTAACTTTGCTGGCGGTGCAAAAATACCTACATAAAAAAGGCTTTATTATTGTTTTTAGACTTAAAGTGGTTATTACTATGATGATTTTAGATAAAGAAAACCTTGTTTTAAAAGAAAAATTAAACTTTACTTTATTTTTGTCTGTTATTATATTTTATTTTTAAGAGTAGTAATTAACACAGAATTTGGGCTTGATTTAATTCCTGCGCCCTCAGAAAATCAACAAAGACTGGTTACAATAGACTATCTATTTTGAAAAAGAGCAAGAAAAAATTATGAAAATGAAAGAAAAAATGAAGATTATGGAGGAAAAACTAAATAAAATTTAATAAATACATAAATTAATTAAGGAAGAATTCTGTTATTAAGTTTTAACTAAATGTTTCAAAAATGTGATAATTCAGAAATTATTTGTTACTTTTGTTAATATATGATATATATTTATTTTTAATAAATTCATATTCTATTCAATTAAGCATTGATTAAAATCATTGTCCCATTTTGATTTCATAGTAGTTTGCGGTATTATACACATAAACACGAAATTATGCGCAGAAACTGACCCACAGGAATTAAATTCGCGCAGCAACTGATGCGCAGCAACTGACTCAAACGCGCAGAATTAAACGCATTGAATATTATTTTTAATTCATTAAATTTATTAAAATAAATTATATTTTAGAGATGTTATTTATTGTAAACATATCTTAATAACACAAACTACAAATTTAATAAGACATAAGTTCAATTTGATCAATATAAAAATTATATTTTATAGTTAAAAGACGTCTTGACCAAAATACCGCAGGAATTAGTACACTTACCCTATTTAAATATTAAAATTTTTAATACTTTTAACTAAAAATTCTGAAGAGTTTCATTTCATTTCATTTTAATTAATTAATTTTTTTTGAAAAAGTTTAATTGAATTATTTTAAAATTATTTGAATTTTTTGTTTTCTAATATTTATATTTAGCTGAATAATGGTTTATGGTAAAATTGAATTGTAGACAAATTGGAAATCCTCAAAGAACTTTTTCAAAAATTATTAGAAATAATTGATTTAAAGAGGAAAATTTTTGAAAATAGCCTTAAAAGTCGAGAGCTCCGAGGTCTGAAAATATTTCTTTATTCCTTTACTTTGAGAAAAGAATACTGGTCGTTAAAGAAATAAAATTCTAGTTTACATCTTCAACATCTAAAGAATTATTCCCTAAATTTAATTTTTAGTAAAATTATCTTAGATGCAAATTAATAAAATTATTCAATCAATTGATAATTTGACAAAATTATTCAGTGTTTTGAGACTTTAGGAAAAAGATTTATAAATCTTGATTCTGCTCCACAATATTCCTCAGCCATACAGTTTTCTGTCCTAGTACCCACACTTTCTATAGACTACTTTAGAGACACCTTTCAAAGTGTTCAATTTTTAAATCAATAAAAAATTTCCAAATGCCATTATTTTCTGAATTAAGAAAATGTAATATTGCAAAGAATGTTTATCGTTGTATAAATGTTTTCATACTTGTGGAACTTTTCAAAAAAAAAAACTAATTCCTTCTCATGTAATGAGAATGTAAAAAAATAAAAAAAAAATTGAAAAATTGGGCTAGATAATAGTAGTGATAGAAGTATCTTGGGGACGTGTGTAGGTTCGGTGACAAGCAGTGACAGCGGTCATAGTACACAGCTGGACAGTCATAGTGGAAGCAGCGTCGAGGCCGGTGGAAGTCCACCTCCACCTCAGAGACGACACTCCGCCTTGCAAGGTATGTAATTGCGTATAAAAAACAAAATACAATTCATCCTTTCTTGGCTTCCTCTTATCCAATTGTAGAATGTACAATTATTTTCGCATATCGTATTCCTAGATTTTTAAATATCATTTTTTTGTAGTCTTTGGTCACATTTTAGTTATAAAACGCAGTAAAAATGTGACTTCTTCCTCTATGTAGTTTTGTAAATTTATTGCTTTTTATAGATTGTCAATTTTTTCGTAAACGAACTTTAGTCAGTTTTAAACAAGTCGAACCTAAAGTCTAATTTTTCTCAAATCTAATTTTGTAATTTAAAGTCTAATTTTTCAATTTAAAATCTAATTTTTTAATTTAAAATCTTAAATTTTCATTCATTTACTTATTTTTGTCTTTTATTTACTGATTTACTTACTTCTATCTGAACAAAATTGAGAAATATAATTTTCCGTCTTTTATTATTTAGAATCAATTTTTTTCAAGTTTTGATTGAAAATCAATTGGAAAAAAATTTTTTTTTTCTTAATAATACAAAAATATCTGCTTCAGCTGTCTTGATATTATCGCTTGATAAAAGCTTCGCTTTATTTCTTATTCAGATTCTCGAAATTAACGACGTAAAAACGAAAAGCTTTAAAATATTTTTCTAAACTTAGAAAGGAGAATTAAAAAAAAATTTTGAGTCGTGTGTATTATATTATTGCTAAGCAGGATCGGTTTTGAGAGGTGGAGTTCTACCCCCTTACCCCCATGCCGTAGCAGTGTTACCTCCACTTCCTGTCAATCAAAATCTGAATCACACTCATCAATACCATCATCTTCATCAACATTATCATCAGCAAATCTTGCCTCCTCAAGGTGAGTCGCTGTCTCGCTTTCGGCCTCTATTTTTTTCGCTTCAATTTTAAGCTCTCTCATTCGCCTGTCTTCCTAATCCGTGCTTTTAATTTCACATTGTCTTTAGATATCCCTCACACTTTAGATCACACTTTTAGAATTATATCTCCATTTTTGTTTAAAATTCACTATTTCTTGACTCTGTTTTTGAGTGAATATTTTTCAGCGATGGAGATTTATGTTTGATTACTAATAATTGCACGTGATTTTTTTTTTTTTTTTTTTTTTTTTTGCTTTAAAATGGAAAATTGTGATAATAGGCAATGGTTTGTGAATTTGTAACATTTGTTTGGGTTGTGTTTGGTAGACTATTTTTTGCAGGTGTTTTCTCACAGGATTCTTGGTAGAATAATTTTTCTAACGGATGTTTCTAAGGTTTCTGTTTGTTTTCTCTCTGCTAGCGATAGATTTTTTTTGAACTTGCTCCTTTAGACTAGATCAGGGCTCGAACCAGTGAAAGTATTTAAAAATACGGACTTTGCGGAACAAAAATGAAAAATTACGGACCAAACTGACAAAAATATAACCAGTCCGAGTCAAATAAGAGAATATTTTACTTAAAACTAGAAATTAAATTTTTTATAACTATAGAACATGAAGATATCGATAACTCCGAGTCTTCGACTCGGAGTGATCGATTTCTTCCTGTTTTATAGTTATAAAAAACAACCGTGTGATAAAATCAATATTTTATATTATAAGAATATTTTACTTTTTTACTTTCTTCACTTCTTTACAATTATTTTCATCATTTCAATTCAATTATTATTTTCAAGAATTTTTAACTAAAATTCTTCTTTAAATCAATTATTTTTACTAATTTTCGAAAAAGTTCTTTGACAATTTTCAAATTCATTTGTTTGGAATATTCAATTTTACGAAATTTCAATTATTTGTAAATTCTTCAATTAAATATATATATTAGAAAATAAAAACTTCAAATAATATAAAAAAATTCAATTAAACTTTTTCAGAAAAATTAATTTCAAAATTCAATTATTTCTAAAAATTTACACTATATTGCTTTTAATATTTATAATTATTCTCTAAAATTTTAACTGAAATTCATCTTTAAATCAATTTTTATTAGAAAATTCTACTAGAATTCAATTATTTAAATACATAAATAAATAATTTATTGAATAAGTGAATGTTTCTTAAAATTGAATTCTCATACATAAAGAATTTTACCAAACAAATTTTTCAATAATTAAATTCTTTTGACGAATTTTAATAAAAATGATGAGTTTTATTATTTATGGAAATAATTGAATTCCTCAAAAGAATTTTATTATTTTTGAAAATAATTGAATTTTGTACTAAATTTGATTAAAATTCCTGAAAAAAATTGAATTTCAGGGAAGAAATTTATTAAAATCTCTGAAAATAATTGAATTTTAAGGAAAAATTTTATTATCGATGAAAATAATTTAATTTCTGTAATAATTTGTAATTTCTCCAAATTAAATTTTTTTTTAGTGTTTCCAACTAAAATTCTTCTATAACTTCATTATTTTTAATAATTTTTGAAAAAGTTCTTTGAGAATTTTCAAATTCAGTTGTTTACAAGTCAATTTTACAAAATTTCAATTATTCGTTAATTTTTCAGTTAAATATATATTAGAAAATAAAAACATCAAAAAAATAATTTCAAGTAAAATTGAAATAAACTTTTTCAAAAAAATTAATTCTTCTACAGAATTGTTTATTAAAAGTATGAATTTCATAAAAATTGAATTGAAAATAATTTAAATTCTGCGTTGAGTTTTCTTATTTAGGAAAATAATTGAATTCCAACAATGAATTTCATTATTTATAAAAATAATTGATACCCTGTAAAAAATTTATTATTTATGAAAATAATGGAAATATTTCGAAGAAATATAATGAAAAAATTTGTAAATAATTGAATTCTTGTAAAAAATTTGATTGAATAGAGAAAAGTTTTTGAAATTAATTGAAATTCTTCCAAGTATTTTATAAAAATTTTTGAAAATAATTGAACTTTGGCGAAGAATTTTTCTATTTATAAAGATAATTGAAATTTTGATGAGGATTTTAAAGAATTTCTTAAAAATAAAGAAATAATTGAATTCTTGTGATGAATATTGTTTTTTTATAAAAATAATTGAATTTTGCAATTATTTTATGAAAATAATTAAATGTTGCGTAGAATTTTATTAACATTTTTGAAAGTAATTGAATTCTTTTGAAAAATTTTATTAAAATAGTAAATATTGAAAATTATTGAATTGAGGAAAATTTTTTTAAATAATTTAAATTTTGCCTTGAATTTTATTCAAATTTTTGAAAATAATTGAATTTCAGAGAAGAAGTTTATTATTTCTAAAAAATAATTTAAATTTTGATGCGATTTTAAAAGAATTTTTAAACGTAATTTAATTTTTGAGAAGAATTTTATTACTTTTGAAAATAATTGAATTATTGCAAAGAATTTTATTATTTTTGAAAATAATTGAATTTCTGCAATCATTTGTAACTCTTGTAATTTCTCTAAAATTCTCCAAATTATATCGTAAAATTTACGAACTTTTCTTCCTTTTTCTATCAAATTACGGACTTTACGGATCTTTTTTCAAAAAAACTGACTTTTACGGACTTGAAGAAAATTTACGAACCTTTGCGGGATTTATGTACCTAGTTCGAGCCCTGCTAGATATACAAGATTTTTATCTTTGTTTTTAATTCGACGATCGACTGCTTTGAATTGTCTACAAATTTTGAATATTTTGATAAATTGAATTGAATGAGACTATGAGAATTAAATTAATTATTAAATTAAATTAAATTAAATTAAATTAAATTAAATTAAATTAAATTAAATTAAATTAAATAAAATTAAATCGAATTGAATTGAATTAAATTAAATTCAATCGAATTGAATTGAATCGAATTGAATTGGATTAAATTGAATGATGATTTAACTGCGTGAAATGTAACTTTCAAAATATTGTCTTTTTCAAAAAGTCTGATCGTCGAAGTGTGAGGTGAGGAGACGTGTTAGAATCGAGAACCAGAGCGTCGAGGGTTTTCAGGTTCTACGGGAGTAGCAGTCAATTTGGGATTAAGTATGCCGCCACCTTTGCCACTTGGTGCGTTGTCCGGGGGAATGCGTCCTGTGGTTAGTGCCGCTCAGTGTCGTCAACCTCCGCAGTACAAAGCTGCTGCTCAGATGGCAAGGCTTTACAGGCTCGGTCGAGCTCATAGTCACGAAGGTGTCACCTACCGGAACGATCACGAAGATGGTATAATTATATAAAACACTGAAACAATTAATTCATGCCCCTTCAATCAACATTCACCGTAATTAAAATACTAAAACTCCATTGGAGAAGTAAAAGAAGTATAAAGCAAAGAGCAAAAGTATTTAAGTCACGAAATAATAGCAGACGTCGGATTTTATAGTTTTGGACTTTTTTGGGATTGTTTTCAAAAAATACTACGAATTTTTCGATTTATTTCAATCAGGGTTGACACAGAAATTTGGAATTTAGAACAAAAAATCCAATCCAAAAAATCCAAAGTACAAATTTTATTTTTTCCGAATTTCCAGACAGAACTTTTGACTTTTAATTTTTCTACTCTTAATCGAGTAATACGACTGTTTTTCGATCCGAGGACTTTAATAACCATTCACCTGAAAACGTAATACAAAAAGGTGAATAAAAAATGTGCTCTTCAAATCTAATTATACGTCTCCTTTTATTTCTCCATATGCTAGAAATTCAAAAAAATTCGCAGATAAAAAAAAAATGCTAAACTCTCATAATTTATTTTATAAACGCCGTCAAAATTTATAGAAACAAATACGAACTGAATTCAATTAATTTTCTTCTACATATATGTACTAAAAGTTAAACACACACACTCTCTACTTCTCTTTTTGTAAATAACAAATAATAATAATAATAATTTAAGTCACACCTGTGTGTTTGTGAAATCATGTGTCTTTTGTGTCGTATTTGTAAATCGTGTAAAAGCGCATTATTAAGCATTTCTTGCACAAAAAAGCATATCACAAGGAGTATAAATAAATATTTAACTGACTGATTTCTCAGCATCCCATTTTTGCACATGCTCGCTTGCTTGCATCCGGTGATAAAGTGTCGATTGAGTCGCAAAGCATATAATAAATAATTATCTCTCGATAAATATTCGCGAAATCGCTCGAAATTTTTTTTAAAGGATTTTTTTTTACTGAGATCTGAGATGTTTGATTTTGCTTGCATCGTGTATGATTTTTTTTCTTCATCCAGTATTGTATTTTATTTCGAAAAATTATTTTTTGATAGAATAATCAAGACGAAAACAAAAATAAATTGATGTCTTTGTCCCCTTGTTGCTTAATATACTATTTTTTTAAATTATTTTAATAAGGAAAAGAAAAAAGCAGGACTTGAACCAGTTTTTGAAAAAAAAGTAGGATTTAAAAATACGGACTTTACGGACCAAAAAGGAAAAAATTAAGGATTATTTACGGACCAATTACTGACAAAAATATAACCAGTCCGAGACAAATAAGAGAACATTTTACTTCAAACTAGGTATAAATTAAATTTTTTCATGACTATAAAACATGAAGAAATGGATCACTCCGACTCCGACTTCGACTCGGAGCGGTCAATTTCTTCATGTTTTATAATAAATAAAGATGACCCAGTGACAAAATCATTATTTTATATAAGAATATTGTACTTCTTCACAATTATTTTCATCATTTCAATTCAATTATTATTTTCAAGAATTTTTAACTAAAATTCTTCTTTAAATCAATTATTTTTAATAATTTTCAAAAAAGTTCTTTGACAATTTTCAAATTCATTTGTTTACGATATTCAATTTTACGAAATTTCAATTATTCGTAAATTCTTCAATTAAATATATATTAGAAAATAAAAACTTCAAAAAATATTTAAAAAATTCAATTAAACTTTTTTAAAAAATTAATTTAAAACTTCAATTACTTCTAAAAATTCACGCTATATTGCTTTTAATATTTATAATTATTATCTAAAATTTTAACTAAAATTCATCTTTAAATCAATTTTTATTAAAAAATTCTACAAGAATTCAAGTATTTAAATACAAAAATAAATAATTTATCGAATAATTGAATATTTCTTAAAATTGAATACTCATAAAGAATTTTACCAAAAAATGTTTTAAATAATTGAAATCTTTTGACGTCCTTTAATAAAAATTTTAAGATTAATTACATTTTTTTTTTTAGATTAAAATTGTATTAAAAATAATTGAAATTCTGCGATGAGTTTTATTATTTATTAAAATAATTAAATTCCAAAAAAGAATTTTATTATTTTTGCTAAACATAATTAAATTTCTACGAAGAATTTTATTATTCTTGAAAATAATTGAATTCCTGCAATAATTTGTAATTTCTCCAAAATTAAATTTTTTTAGTGCTTTTAACTAAAATTCTTCTATAAATCCATTATTTTTAATAATTTTGGAAAAAGTTTTTTGAGAATTTTCAAATTCATTCGTTTACAATTCAATTTTACAAAATTTCAATTATTCGGTAATTCTTCAATTAAATATATTAGAAAAGAAAAACATCAAAAAAATAATTTCATGTAAAATTGAAAAAACCTTTTGCAAAAAAATTAATTCTTCTACAGAATTGTTAGTTAAAAGTTTAATAATTCAAATTTTCAAAGATTTTAATATGAAACCTTTTTAAAATTCAATTATTTCTAAAAATTCAAGCTAAAATACTTTTAGTATTTAGTTATAATCTAAAATTCTAAGTGAAATTGATTTGAAAATCAATTTTTATTAGAAAATTCTACTAGAACACAATTATTTAAATAAATAAAAAATAATTTATTCAACAATTGTATTCTCAAAAAAAATTTTATCAACAAATTTTAAAATAATTGAATTTTTTCGTCGAATTTTAATAAAAGTTTTAAGAATAATTACACTTTTCGAGGAATTTATTTAGAAGAAATTTATTAAAAATTGGTAAATAATTGAATTCCTGTAAAATTTTTATTATTTTATGAAAATAATTCAACGTTTACGTAGAATTTTATTAAAATTTTTTTAAATAATAGAATTCTTTTGGAAAATTTTATTAAAATAGTAAATATTCGAAATCATTAAAATAAAGAAAATTTTTTAAAATAATTGAAATTTTGCCAAGAATTTTATTAAAGTTTATGAGAATAATTGAATTTTGGAGAAGAATTTTGCTATTTATAAAGATAATTGAAATCTTGATGAGGATTTTGAAAAATTTCTTAAAAATAAATAATTAAATTCTTGTGATGAATATTATATAATAATTGAAATTCTTCGATTTGGTATTTATTCAAATATAATTGATTCTTAAAAAGAATTTTTTTATGAAAATAGTTAAATGTTTGAGTAGAATTTTATTAAATTTTTTGAAAATAATTGAATTTCGGAGAAGAATTTTATTATTTTTAAAAATAATTGAAATTTTGACTAGAATTTTTAAAAGTTTTTAAACATAATTGAATTTCTGCGAAGAATTTTATTACTTTTGAAAATAATTGAATTTCTGTAATCATTTGTAACATTTGTAAATTCTCTAAAATTCTTCAGATTATATTGTACAATTTACGAGCTTTTCGTTCTTTTTCTATCAAATTACGTACTTTACGGACCTTTTTTTAAAAAAAAAACTGACTTTTACGGACTTGATGAAAATTTACGGATCTAGTTCGAGCACTGGAAAAGTTTTTTCTTTCCTTGTTAAAAATAAAATTAAAAAAAAATTGTATGGGATGATAGAATTCTTTAATTTTTAACAAAATAATTTATTATTTAGTATTTATATTTCGTTGAATATGAGTTAAAATTCGCAGTTGAAAAAGTTTCTAAATACAGTTTGATTATTCTTTCTTAAAAATGTTCCACTTGTATTTTTCTTTTGATGATCAGTTCAATTAAACAGATAATCTCTGTTTCAGATGATGAAGATGCACAGGTGTCGGCAGTCTAGAAACAAAAATTGTGAATCGACGGCGTGTTCCAGTCGAAAGCTTAGTTAATTTTTTCTCCTGCCCGCCTCCAACATCTTTATTTCTCGCTTCTTTTTGATTAATTAGCGACGAGTCCCAATAAATGAGGAAGAGCCTGAATTCTATACTCACAGGAAGTGCTTCCTTTAGCTGCATCTTATTAATTATTGTCGATAAAAGAAACAATACCGTCAAGTATAAAAAGAAAACTCGTTCCTGAAAAGAACGTTGTTTAAAGAGACGCGATCGTTTCGATTAAAAAAAATCGCTTCCATTTCAAGAATTCTGTTATGAATATTTAGGAGAGAAAATTCAGCAGAATTTTATGAGATGGAAAATTTAAGAAAGGAGAAATATTTGATAATAAATGAATTTTAAAAGCTGATTTATTTAAAAAGAAAGTATATCCTTTTTCAAGTGTTCATAAAGAGAGGAAAGATTTGGAGAAATCTTTTCTTTTGAACACTAAAAACGATCGCGTGTTTATTTATATAAATGTGTAATAAATCGAGCCCAAAGATGTTAAATATCGTTTTATCGCTGAATAACGAGACGTATGTATTATATATTTTTTAGGTCTGTTCTTTAAAAAAAAATTGAAGAAACTCCGTAGCATGTAAGTTGGTGTAAATAGCGTATAGTACCTATTTAGTTTTTAGCAAAGAGAGAAAGACAAGGGAAAAAGAACAGGGAACAATGAACAACTTAGTAACTATTTATCGCAATTTTTCTCTATTTTTTTTTCTTTTTTTCGAAAAACATATTTACAAAAACGATTTTTTAATTTTAGCAAACAAAATTTTCTTTAATATTTTGTGTTTGTGAATATGTTTTTTTTTTAGAAGAAAAATTCTCAATTTATATGAGAAATCACAAAAAACTAAAGTCAAGAGATTAGGTTTTTTTCCATTACGAAGGAAACTGCTCGATTTTTATCTTCTTATGAAGTAAAAGAAAATTGTTTCTATCTTTTTTTCAACGAATCTATCTATTTATTGTGAGATTGAATTTTTTGAAAAAGTGGGCCTAACCTTTTTGGACGTCTCACAAAAAAAAATTGTCGATTTATTTTTTAATTGAAGAATCGAGCAATTCTTCGCTTTAAATAATCGTAATTAATTCTTGTATTTAATTGTATCTCATTGTACATATCGTAATAAGTTTTAAAAGAAAACTCGAACCCAAAAAATGTTCTCGATAAAATTCCCCCGAAGATTAATACAAAACAAAAAAAAAATATATATTATATATAATTCCACTTCTCTTTTATTCAGAGTATATTAAGAGTGCGTTTTTTTAATTATTAGAAAGAAAGCGAACGACTGCTTTTGTTTATATAGAATCAATTTGTCTTTCCAATTCTCATTTTCCTGTCTGTCTCTACTTTTCCTCGAAACAAAAAAACCCTTGAAAAACGTCGCATTATTATGTCCTCTCGACTTCATTCCAAAATGCATTTACTTCGCGGTTTTCAATCGTCTTCCGCTCGCTCGATTTATTTTTTTGGAAAATTATTCGCGAGGTGATGAAAAAAAATTAAATTGTCCAAAAATTATTATAATTTTTGGGAAGAAATTGAATTGGGAATTAAAAGGAAAGTGAAAAAAAGAACTTACTGGAAATTGTAGAGTTGAAATTTTTTGTTTAATTTTATATGTATATTTCGTATATTTAAAAAAAATTGTGTTTGCTTGGAAATTTTTGCTCGTAGATCGAGCAAGTAAGGGAGTGCAATTGACTGAGTATTTGTAAAAAAAAAGTATTGAAAATAGTCGGAAACAAAAAAAAAAAAAAATTGATATAGACGAGTTTTACGACTATGCGATTTTTTTTAAATAAATTATGTTCTTTGGAAGTTCGAGTTTAGTTTTTAGCGACACTCAGTACAAGTTGTATACGGAAAACACCAGAGACAGAAATTTAGGACTCTTCCGCACATCTTGCACAATCGTGGAATTTTATTTTATTTATAAAACTGCCTCTGCTGTTTTTTTTTAATTATTTATATATATTACGCGAAAGAAAAATGCCGATTATGACTAAAAACTTCAAGAGAGAGAGATACCTTTTGTATTTAATTTGTTTAATAAAAGAAAAATCGAATCATAGTACAAAATTTGTTTTGTTTTGTTTCATTTCTTATTTTTTCAGAGAGAGAAAAAAAACCTTTTTGTTTCTAAATATTATTGGTTGTAAGAAAAAATTTTTTTTATTTTCAGGAAGAGTTTTAATTTTAAGAGTGGTGAAATGTTTTGTCCTCTTTAAGTATTTTTGTAAATTATCCAGAAAAATAGAAAAAAAAACTAAGAAACAAAATGAATTATTCCGGTAGAAATTTTTTGAATGAAAATAAAATGGAACTTTTCTGCGAAATAATTTGTCAAATGGAAAAATAAAATACAAGAAATATATTTAAAAAAAAAATTACATCGCTGACTACTATTTTATACGATGCGCTGTTTTCTATATTATATCCGTCTTATTGCGTCAATAACAAATATCTCCGTTTATTAATGGGAGAAAATACAGAGACATTCAATTTTAGGTGGTCGTGTATATTTAACGAACGCATAATTTTACACATTAAATTCCCTTTGTACTCTTAAAGTTCGACATCCATGACATGCTCGTCTGTATGAAAAAGAAATCCTCGTAGATGTTGTAACATGTAAATCTCAAACAATATAAACTTTATTTAAACCAATGTTTCGATTTTCTAACTGTTAAATTTCATTATAATTTTATTTCTGTTTATTTTGTATAATAATTTCATAATTTTATTCTGAATTTTTTTTATTTTCAAATATAAAGATAAATTTCTAAATAATTTCAGATTCGAAAATTTAAATATTCTTTTCAATTTTCTCAAAATCTTTTATGAAATTGACTAATAATTATTATTAATATTTTCTAGAAATTTAGATAAATTTTTTGCTAGCATTCAATTATTTTTAATCGAATTTTAAGAAAATTTTTCAAAAAAATTCAATTATTTTCAATAGTTATAATAAAAATGTATTTAACAGAATTCAATTATTTTTGAAAAATTTTAGAAAACTTATCGCATGAATTAAATTATTATTTTTTTTACGAAAAATAAAATTCTTCGCAGGAACTCAATTACTATCAATAGAAATGTTAATAAAATATCTCAAAAAAGGTGCAATTATTTTTTGAATTTTATTATAAAATTCTGTATGAGAATTCATTAATTCTCATTAAAATTTCAATTAAAATTCTTTGAAAGTTAAGTAAATTATTTTCAAAAATTTTAATAAAATTCTTCACAAGAATTTAATTATATTCTAAAATAATTCCAATTATTTCCAAAAAAAAATGTTAATCAAATTTTTAATTAGGTATAATTATTAACAAATAGAATTAGTTTAAAAATTTTAATTAAGATTGTTGAAAAAATTACATTATTTTCAAAAAATTAAAAAAATTCTTCAATAGAATTGAATTATTTTCGAAAACTGATAACAGTCTTGGAAAAAATTCAATTATTTTCATAAATAATTAAATTCTTCGTAGAAATTCAATTATTTTCATAAATAATTCAATTCTTAGCAGGATTTCAATTCAATTTGAATAGAATTACTCAATAAAATTCAATACAATTTAATAAAATTTTCAAAAAAAAATTCAATTATTTTCACAAATAATTAAATTCTTCTCATGAATTCAAATATTTAAAAAAAATTTTAGTAAAATCCATTGCAAAAATTCAATTATTTTCATGCATAATTAAATTCTTCTCATGAATTCAAACATTAAAAAAAATTTTTAGTAAAATGTGTTACTAAAATAATTCAATTATTTTCAAATAGTTTAATTAAATTTCAATAATAATATATTTTTATTTACTATTATTATTAACAAACAAGATTATTTTAAAGAATCGACAGCAATTCTTCGTAAAAATCAATTAATTTTTCAATTTTCAATTATCATTATTGAAAAAAACTATATTATTTTCTAAAAATTTAAAGAAATTTTTCAAAAGAATGTAATTATTTTCGAAAATTGATAACATGATAATTGAAAGTAATTTTCAATTATTATTTTCATAAATAATAAAATTTTTCGCTGGAATTTATTATTTTCAAAAATTTTAAAATGTAGGTACCTATTTTAAAAATTTTGGGAATTAATTCAATTATTTTCTAAAAATTTACATGAAATTCAATAATATTTTTAATTACAATTATTAACAAACATAATTATTTTAAAATATTAACAAATGCAATTTTAATAAAATTCTACGAAAAAAATCAATTATTTTCAAAAATTCTGATAAAATTCTTTATTAAAAATTCAATTATTTTCATTAAATTAATTTTCAAAATTCAAATACATATTTATAAAAAGAATAGTTATGAAGAAAATTAGGAAACAAACAAGAAAACAGAAGGTAACTAATTTTAATATTAATACAGATTTAGCTTATTTTTCTTTATTTTGAATTCTTTATTTATAAACATTCGTTAATAATCCTTAAAGTTTTAAAACTACTATTGTTTTTATTTACAACAAAATAGTAAATAAATAATTTTAAACACACTTTTTTGTTTCATTATTTATTCTTTTATTTAAAGATAATAATTAATTAACAAAAATTGTTTCGTTGAAAAATTCTTTGAAAAAATTCAAAAATTAAGTTCCTTTTAAGAAATTAAATTTTTCAAAACCTTAAATTTTCGCGGGCATATTTTTACGTATTTTACGTAAATTTACGTAGATTTACGTTTTCTACGTTAGAGAGAAAACTAGAGAAGTGGGGGAAGTTTAGTAGTGAAGCTAGTATAGCTTCAGTGTTTCACCGCAACGAAATTTTATCTCAAATTTGAATTTTGATAGAACCTTTATATAAGAGGAAAAATATCTTCAAATAGCTACTCAACTCTGATTATATGGATTAAAAACCGTAAAAAAAACAAATCTAAAGTGTAATTTGTCATTTCCTAAGTGTAATTGAAAGTTTTTGTTATTAATTTTAATGTCAAATGTTCGTTTTATTATGTTTATCTTATAATTTTTGAAGAACATATTGAAAATTAATTCACTGCGCAAATAGTTGAGGTATGATCACATTTTTATATGTTAATAATTTGACTTTATTTTCAATATTCCTCCAAAAAGATAACCTCTCGAAAATTTAAATATTTTTCTAAAATTATCTAATAATACTTGGAAAATAAAATAAAATTTGATTAATTATTAATACAATTTTTTGCCTACTTGTTCTTTGTAATTGTAAACTGTAAATTGTAACTTATTTAATTTATTGAATTTAAGTTTTAACATTTTTTTTACTACAATTTAATTTCCTTTTTATTGAAACGTAGGAAAAAAAATTGTTGTATATATAGATGGAAAATTCATTGTTTTGTCATTAGTACGTATATAGTGGAAATAAATTGAGAACTTGTTTATTTTTCTTCATTATATACTATATATTAATTGATTGATATTTTGTTTCAGTGTTGTATAACCAATAAGTGTATCAAATAATTGTTAATATATACAATGTCAGAAACAAAGGCATCAAATTTACGACAACCTTCGAAAATCGGAAGGCCTTGCAGTGCTGCACCTCCTAAGCCTGCAGTACCACCGACACCACCGAGAGCATCAATGAGTAAGTTCATAAATTTTTATCCTTTTTTTACTTTTAACAATTTTTCATTGTGTTATGCTTAACATAGTTTTGGATCGTATTTTTTTGTGTGACAACATATGGAATAAGGTAAGATTTATCTGAATTATTTATTCTTCAGTCTGTGGAAATAATCTGGTAAGTTAAACTTTTCATTACAAGGGGGGAATTAAGTATTTTTGAAGTTGAAAAGTTTTCATCGTATAAGCTTAGTATGCAAGTCTTCGTAGGAAAAATTCATTTTTCATACGTAAAAATTTAAAGAAAAATTAGAATATTTCTGTATAGTTACACTGAAAAAAAAATTTATTTGATTCAAGTAACCGATTAATTGACTATTATCAATTAAATATTTACTTGAATCAAATAATATTTATTGGGATCAATTAAATTGTATTTGAACCAATAATTTCATTATTTGAAGCAAATATGAATTGAACCATTTAATTGACTCCAATAAATATTATTTCATTCAATTAAATATTTATTTGACTCCAATAAATATTATTTGATTCAATTAAATATTTAATTGATAATAGTCAATTAATCGGTTATTTGAATCAAATAAATTTTTTTTCCAGTGTATTTATTTAATTAGCAATTTTCAGATTTAAAATTAAAAATGACATGAAATTGAATTAATTACTACATTAAAAATATTTTTTGTCAATATTTAATTATTTAAAAGAAATAATGTACACTGTATTATAAATTTTAGGCTTCGCACTCGTTAATTAATATTCAATAAAAAAAAGTTGCAAAAAGTAGTTTTAATACGGAAAAGAAGTAGTAAAAAAGTAGTAAAAAATTATCTTAATACAGCGCATGTACTCTACTTTTTTTATACTCGTAAATTTTATTATATCCAAAGTAAATTGCAATAAAAATTGATTAAATTTTCTTCGGATTTACTAACATTTATACTCCATCAATGTTAAAATATTTACTATTAAAAATGTTTAATGAAAACTTTTATTGGAAAAAATTCTAAAAATTTTAATAAAATTCTTTAAAACGATTTAATTATTTTTACAAATTTTTCCTAATTCAATGAATTTTAATATTTACTTTCTTTAATATAAAAATTTCCCAAAAGAATTGAATAATTTAAAAAAAAATGTTTATAAAATTCTTCGCAAACATTCAATTATTTTCACAAATAAAAAAATTTTAACAGAAATTTAATTATTTAAACAGAATTTTCCTAATATGTTTCGACAAATAAAATCAATTATAAATTTAAATAGATTTTTATAAAATTCTTTACAAGATTTCAATTATTTTTATAAATAATAAAATTCTTCTCAGGAATTCAATTATTTTCAGAAATTTTTATAAAATTCCTGGCAAGAATTCAATTATTTTTATAAATAATAAAACTCATTGCAGGCTTTCAATTATTTTTAATACAATTTTAAATGAATTCCGCAAAAAAATCCAATTATTTAAAATGATTTTGATATAATTTATTTATTCGAATTTATTAATTATTTTCAATTTTATTTTTAATATTTCTTGAAAGAATTTAATTATTTTCAATTTTATTTTTAATATTTCTTGAAAGAATTTAATTATTTTCAAAAATTTTAATGAAATTCTTCGGAAAAAGTCAATTATCTTCACGGATAATAAAATTATTTGCAGGAATTCAATTATTTAAAAAAAAACAATAAACTTCCCAAGAATTCAATTATTTTTAAAAATAATAAAATTCTTCTCGGAAATTCAATTATTTCTTTAAAATTTTAATAAAATTCTTCACAGAAATTCAATTATTTAAAAAAAAATAATAAACTTCCCAAGAATTCAATTATTTTTAAAAATAATAAAATTCTTTTCGGAAATTCAATTATTTGTTTAAAAATTTAATAAAATTCTTTGCAAGAATTCAATTATTTTTTTAAATTTTAATAATAATCGTTGCAAAAATTCAATTATTTTTATAAATATGAAAACTCATCGCAGGATTTTAATTATTTTTAATACAAATTTAAAATAAATTACGCAAAAAATGCAACTATTCTTAAGAATTCTAATAAAATTCTTTGAAAGAATTCAATTATTTAAAAAAAATTTTATGAAATTCTTGATAATAATCATTTCTTTAAAAAGGGTTTTTTTTAAATTCTTCCGAAGAATGCAATTATTTTAAAAACTTTTTTAAAGTTCGGTAACAAAAATTCAATTATTTTCATAAATAATAAAATTCTTTTCAGAAATCCAATTATTTTTAAAAATTTTAAGAATAATCGTTGCAAGAATTCAATTATTTTGATAAATAATATACAATTTTTAAAGAAATTCAATTATTTAAAAAAATCTGATATAATTTGTTTCTTAGAGTGTAATAATTATTTTCAATTCATTTTTAAGTACATTTCTTGAATGAATTTAATTATCAAGAATTTTAATGCAATTCTTTGTAAAAATTTAATTAATTTAAAAAATGTTGATAAAGTTCTTTATAAAAATTCAAATTTAAGAAAGATTCAATTATTCAATAAATTATTTATTTTTGTATTTAAATAATTGAATTCTCGTAGAACTTTCTAATAAGAATTAGATTTTGAATTGAATAAAATAAAATGATTAAAGTTTTGAATAATTTTATTTATAAATTTCAATAAAAAAATGATTTAATTTTGAAAGAATTACTTTTGTAATTTTTAGAAATAGTTAAATTTCAAAAATGCGTTACATTGAAATAATTTGAAATATTTTAATTCCTGTAGAGAAAATAAATAGGTATTTAAATATTTATTTTAAAAAATTATTCTATTTTTGAATGTAGTTAAGAAATTATAAAAAAATTGAGTCAAGTTTAATTTTTCGATAGCTATTTTTTTACTTCTTTTTTTTCAGTCTTTAAGCTAATTTTTGCTACTTTTTTAAAATTAATTATCGAGTACGAAGCCTGTCAGTGTTAAAAATTTCCATTAAAAATAGTAAAATTTACTATTACCAATTTTTAATCAAAATTTTTAATCCATTTTTAATCCAAAACTTTTGTTACAACGGTACTTTTTTAATAATCTCATAAATTTTACAATCACCGAAGTAAATTTCAGTAAAAATTAGTAAAACTTCCTTCGGTCTTGCTAAAATTTTACCCAAAAAATATCTAGTACCTACAATTTAAAATTTTTAATAAAAACTTCAGTTACAACGGTGTTTTTTAAAAAATCTCTTAAATTTGACTATAAAATTTGATATTAAAATTAGATTATTGCGAAAAAAATTTACTTCGGAAGAAAAAAAATTTACTCTGTAAATAACAATGTTTATAATAGCAAATTATACTCCATTCGAAGAAAATTTTATTAATCTTAATACAAAAATTAACTTTTGAAATTGTAAAATTTTCTATTAAAACTTGTTATTTCTATGGAGTAAATATTATGAATATTATAAGTAAATTTAAATTATAATATATAAGTAAATTTTAATCAAAATCCAAATCCAGCTAAAGCGTGAAATTTAAAAAATGAGAATTTTCATTTTTAAGAAAATCAAATTAAAATTTAAATATATTACAAATTTTTTAAAAATATAATCATTAAAATAAAAATCACATATAATATTAAAAAAAAAGAATCTTTCAGCATTCTAAATAAATGAAAGAACATTCCCCACCAAATTAATGCATATACACAACGACACACGACATAAACATCACCCACGGTTTATATCGTATTGTAAGCAACAGTTACATCAGTATTAAATGAGTCTTGTGAAGGTAAATACATACACTTGAAACTTTCCTGTCAGACTCAGGTAGTCATTCATATTTGTTTACCTCTCGTCGCAACACACATCTGCTTTAATTAATCTGGTAAATATTTTAAAAAACCCACATTTCCATGGAAAGAAACTGTTGAATTGAGAACATTTTTTATGAAAATTCTTTTATTAATAATGCTTCTTTTTAGAATGCAATTTATTTAAATATTAATAAATAATTTGCTTTTAAATCAAATGTATCAGGTATGAAATCAATTTTTTACTTTTTTGAGATAATAAACTCTTTTTGATTATACTTCGAATATTTTTAATTATTGCGTTTATTACTTTCTTCAAATTAAATTTCAAATTAATTAATTAATTCTTGAAAATTAATTTAATTGTGAATAACAATGATAAATATTCTTTAACGAATATAGTTAAAGAATAATCAATATTTTCTTTCCGTGGAATTTTGTCTATAGTTTGTAAATAAAAAAAAAAAAATATTCTAAATTTTGATAATCAAGTCATAACTATAGCAAGAAATGTATTTTTATGAAAATTGGAAGTGAATTTAAAAATTTTATTTTATCCTCACTTTTGTTATAAAGGACAAACTTGGTCATGTGTTTACGATCATATCTTATTTTTAGAAACACATCAAGATTTAATTATTTAATATTGTGAGTGAAAAGATTTTGGAGTGAATTCTTATTTTATTCCAGACGAATTAAATTTATTTAATTTAATAGTAGTATTTTTGATAGTATTTCAGTATTTTACGCAGTATTTATTTTATTATTTTTACTAGTATTCATTTTAGTATTTTTAGTAGTATTTTTGTATTTTTAATAGTATTTTAATATTTTTAGTATTTTTTTTAGTATTTTTCTATTTTTAGTAGTATTGTAATATTTTTAGTAGTATTTTAGTATTTTTAGTAGTATTTTAGTATTTTTAATAGTATTTTAATATTTTTAGTATTTTTTTAGTATTTTTCTATTTTTAGTATAGTATTTATTTTTCTATTTTTAGTAGAATTTATTTAACTATTTTTATACTTAATTTGAAAAAAAAAACTTTCATTTTGTTTTAATTATTTAAAGAAAAATTTAAATTAAACCAAATATGTAGGTGTGTGACACAACTCAACAATTAGGAGAAACTAAATAAAGCGATATAGCGAATAAAAATTTATGAACACGCTGTCCTCGAATAACAACAGTGGGTCGAATTAATTTAAAGTGATAATTACTTTT